GTTGAGTTTAAGTTTGCTGGCTCGCATGTGGGCAGAGGAAATATCCATAAAATTTCAGCTTCCCAGTTTTCGTGGTAAGAAGAGGGAAAAGCAGAAAATGAGGACGGACTTCTAAAGTTCCTATGGCATGTAGCAAAGGAAGTAGTGCTAAATGTGCTTAAAATTTATGAAAGCGATATGGTAAAACTATGTGTACTTCATCCCAAGCCAGTATACATAAAAAACAGGGGTGAGCGTGTATGCGACGAAAATGTAGGTACACTTGTGCGATTTTTAAGCTTTTGCAACTAAATTTTTCGATTTTTCTACTCTCCACTCTTTGGGGAAAATTTTTGGGAAAAATCGTAAACGACTTGAATTTTTAGCTATCGGTTTCCTGGACCTCAGGATCATTAAAACAACTTATTCCCTAAGCTGGCCGGCCTGGAAGTTGCAGTGCGAAGTAGTGTCACTCCGATGCTTAAAGTGGGGGGTCTGACTTAGCCAGTGGGAGACCAATCCCCCTACAAATCGTCATTCGTTTGATGGCACTTTCAGTTTTTTCATTAATTATCAAAATTCCACTGTGTTCCTCTCCGCGGTGGTGGGCCACCAATACCAAACAAACTGCATATGTTAATGCAAAGACGCGATTTCAGGCCTTCGTCCCCTTTCAAACTCCCAGCCGGAGATATTCACTGTTTGTATCTCTAAAATTTCTACAACATTTGGCATTGACGCATGTAAGCTTGCCTGTAAGCAAAATTCCAGATAGGTAGCAACCAACAGCTCCCTCCCCCCTTATTAAATGGTGATTTCTATTGGCATGTGTTATGACCTGAATTAATTCTAAGTATATCCTCCCATACAGACGGACCCGGGTTGTTTTTGCTCTTTTTTTTCGTCAACAAAACGTTGTTTCCCGGCAAAAGTGAAAAAAAAAAAATTTAGAATACCATACCTTTAAGCCTAAAATCTCGGCTCTGTGCCAACGACCAAGGATAGTGGCCAGCTCAAATTCTACATCAACTATACAGTAAACACGTTCGCCTTTTTCCAATGCAGCAATTCTGAAAGCGAAAAATACTCGCTAAAAAATGTTCCAAAAATAAGGAATTGAAAAAACAAAACAAAACTAAGTAAGTCGGAAAAGTGAGTTAATTTTAACCTCATATTTGAGGTAAAACCAACAAAATCAGGATGTACTGATAAGAAATTCCTAGGGATAACTGTATGTCGAAAAAAGTGAAGGCCATCTCAAGTGCGACAGTGGTTAAAAGGGACAAACCCGGGCATTCGCATAAAATGTATTGCGTAGGAAGATGGTTGGCAATTACATATTACAGGGCAAACGCATATTTGCAATCTGTGTTTCATTCCTTAGCCGTAAATACAGACAGAGAATCTGATGTAAGTTGGAGTGAGAATCATCAGTGCAACCTCTAACTCGCTACGTGTGAAAAGATAAGTTAACATAAGCGTGGCAGTGGACGTAGAAGAAAGGAAATGAGAAGAGAAAAGGAGAATTGAGGAGACGAGAAAGTAAGAGGAATTATCGGCTGAAAGTCTGAGGAAATAGCAGTAAAATGTGCATTTCTTAGAATCCTATAGTGACTTCAATCGCTTCGAAATGTTCTCGGTTTTCAGACCCAAAATGTATATTTACTCCTCGAACGCTATCACTCCTGGTCTATGGCCTAATTTATGGTGCCTTATCAGATCAAAAATAAAAAAAATTACACTCGAGAGCAGTTGATGGTTCGCCGATTCCTTGAATGGGCATAAAATGTGTGCAGTTCGGCTGTGAAATCACACAAAACACTGTTTGCAGTGATCATCGCTTCAACCGCCTCATCTACTGTATCTAGGCCTTCTTCAGCTACATCCCCATTCGCCAAACCACTTTGTTCTTGATGATTGGCCACTGTAGCTTTTTTCAGTTTCAACGGATGAGCGTGAAATTCATACGGTGAAATTGTACTTCTAAAAATAAACATGCAATAGCAAGGAATAGCTGAGTTAAACCCTCAATTTACATACAGGCTTGCTTATCTGGGAGATCTAAATGGCACTTACAGTTTTTCCACAACTATCCAAATTCGACTGTGTTCCCCTCCACGGTAGGCCAACAACACCAAACAAGCTGCGTAAGTTAACAGAAGATATTAGACCCCGTCCTGTTCCAACCCCCTAGCCAGAGATATTCATTGTTTGCATCTTCAAAATTTCTGAAACACTTGATGTGTCTGTGACACCAGTTGCTGCTCGCCTGATTTATAGCAAACTTCGCCGATCGCTAGTCACCCTGTGTGGGGATAATCTAATAGTAAAACAATAAGAAAACTAAGAATGTACCAATGTGTTGCATGCACGATAAACAAATCGTAGTGCAAATCTATATTTCATCCCTTGGCTGTAAACACAGACAGACACTGCTACCGCGAACAGACCGGTGTGAAAATGTATTTTTTTGTAAAAATTTCTTAACTAAGAAGACAATTCGAAGAATGCTTCACGTGCCCGATGTCATATAGCACCAGATCACCGAGCCAAAAGACTACATTCCCATAATTCCTGTCCAGCTTAATTGGCCACACACACATACATCACACACATACACACACACACACACACATACACACACACGTCTCTTTTGAGCCTAAAATTTCATATATGCATGAATGCAAAATCCGTATGCAAACTTTTTATCAGAAAAACTAAAAAAAACTAAAATTTACCTTCCTTCCACATCGACGAGAAGTTTTCCATCTTGACAAAATTGATGCTCTTTTAGCCATTCAAAGTCAACAACTGGAATCTGAAATAGTAAAAAAGTTTCGCACAGGAAGAAACAAGTCCTCTGAAAAAAAAAATTATCTGAACTGTAAAAAAAAAGACTCTCAACAATGAAGAGGAAAAAAGGCATGATTACCTGGCGCGGTTCAGATTCCCACCAAATTTCTCGATCAACTAAGTGATATTTCATTTCATCGTTACCCGGGAACGTCATTTGCCACCTCTCCAGATTATTCTGAGCCACAATTGCTTCCCTACGTTCCTGAAATAATTATTAAAGCACAGGTGAGCACAAATAGCTTGAACAGAATTAAAAGCATCCAAAACATTTAAAGGCAAGCGATCTAGTGCACCGTCTACACAAAATCCTTCGGCTATTTCAGTTCTTCATAAAACGTTTTCAATGCACTGATAAGCATAAGCGGATCCAGGGCGAAGGGGTCTTCGCCCTCCTTCCTTCCTCCCTCCCATCCCTCTCTCCCCTAGCGGCACAGACACTAGTGCTGCAAAAACCCGAAACCAAAGCTAAAACTAAAGTAAACTAAAGTCTAAGGTAACTCTAAACTAAAGTAATTCTAAGTAGCAGTACTGCAACTGTATCCCTAGTTTTTGCATAGTTCCAGGTGGGAGGGAATCTCGCGCCGTAGGTAAAATTAAGCTCAAAAAAAGCAGTCAAAAAAAAATCATTTACAACGATGTCGTAGATTTTTTGTTGGCCGCCATCAAACAGTTCCCGATCATAATGCACGGTACCAAAGCGATTGAAGACAAATGCTTGATCAATTGGAACACCCAGCTCTTCCTCTTCCGATTTTAGACCGTACATATTAACCTTCAAAATTTGAACATTCTCTCATCATCTAATAACATCATAAAACCTAAAAATTCCGCTTACTTGTAAGGGAGAAGCTAAAAATTCCACTTATTGTAAGGAACAAGTCCAAAGCGCTGTTCAATGTGCTAGTGTCGATCAAATAATTCGCAAAGCAAGATATGCTGGGCAAAAATCTTATTTTTCCAACAAGAAGCATAACATTGACGGAGAATTCAGAGCCACAACAGCTCCTCGTCATAAAATCTGGCGCATAACAAGTCTGCCAGCATTAGCAAAATGATGGGACCAAAAAAGTTCAATCAACAGCCGTACAAACATCAGCATCTGAGGGAATGCACACAGCCTTTTCGTTTCTTTTTTACCTTTATCATCCCCCTCATATCAGTC